TTTAAATTTCCATGCAGCTTGCAGGCATTTCACTCTTGGGACTGTTCCTTTGACTTTCCATGGAAGATTGGGACCATGCCATCATCAGCACAAGCAGCTGGAACTCAGGATGCCTACTGCTCCTATTTTCATACATCCCTAGACATTAGATCAGAAACCAAGGGCCCAGGCCTGCTCCTAGTCAAGTCAGCAGGAGTTTTGCCATGACTGTGCTGGGGCCCAACCAGAAGAGAAGGGACCTGGGTGCTGGAGGATGGTTTCCATGAGGCAGCATCAGCAGGATGGGCAGCTACAGCAGCGCTCTGCACTCAGTTGCTCTGCGTTCCTGTACTACAGAAGAGCTGGGGTCAAAGCAGTGAGTTTCGGGGGATTCAGCACTATCAGTCCTACTCTCCCAGGCCACCAGACAAATGTCCAGGGCGAACACCTGTGACTGGGGAGAGCCACATCTGTGCACCCCACACGACACCTAAAGCCAGGCTTGAGCCAGGACACTCCCGATCTGCCACACATGGAGAACACCATCAGTCCTTCAGAAGTGAGCCTTGTGCAGGGCGGGTCGGGAACGGCTTGCACAGAGCTGAACGCTGCACCAGGGCTGGTGGGGCAGCGTCATGTTAAAAAGCAAGTGTGCATGTGCATGAGTGTTTTAAAAATAAAGGAGCCAAGAGTCCATCTCTCACTATGTGCATGTACAGCACCTAGCACCAAGGCCCTGATTTCAGCTGGGGGCACTGCCGTAACAGACGCCTCAGTATTGCAGGGCGAGGGACAATCTGGAACAAGCACCCAAGAGGACCAAGAATGATGAAAGCCGGGCTGCAGCAGCTTAAAGTTCTCTTGCTCTGGGACTTGTCATGAAACAAAGCCGAGGGGAGCACGGCTGCGGCCACAAGTTACACTGATCAGTGCCAGAGACCAATGACATGCTCGGCTCTCTGCCTGCAGCCTGGGCTCCGTCCTGCAGGTCAGCGCGAGCGGTGTGGGAGTGCTCAGCGCCTGGCAGGAACAGGACCTAACTGCAGAGCAGGTTTAGTCACGTCACAGGCCTGGGGAACCATGTTGCCGTTGACCTCAAGGCAAGTGTGCTCAGCCCAGCAAGCTGCTGCAGCCGATAGAAATGGAATCTTACTGGGTGAGTTCTTTGGAGAAGACAGACCCATCTTCCAGGCCAGCAACCCCTCTTTGCTCCCCATGGGACCTCATTAACACTGAGCTCATTCACACCTAGTGTTCCAGGAGCTGATGTCTCCCACCTTCCACCCCACCTGGAAACAGCAGCACCATTAATGTTCCCTCCGGAGGCCAGTGGTGCTGAATTCCCTCCCGGGGACCAAACAGCTGATTCGCCATGGAGGTGAAGCAATACACTCTCTGGGATACCACCTGAGCGCCACAGGAGAATCTCAGGGTAAAATCAGATGCATATAGAAACAAACTAATAGCCAGCTCCACCTACATGCCATAAAACGTAGCAATATTAGCGTACATTATAGCATTTCAAGAACTCCCCAGACAGGCAGCATGGCTCAGTGGCTGGGGCATGGCACTGGATCTGTGGGGTCTCTTCCTGGATCTGTCGTGGGCCTGCTGGATGACTTTGGGCAAGACACACCCCCACCTGTACCTCAGTTTCCCCTCTCATGCTCTGAACTAGTCTATAAAGACTTTGCTGGTACATAATGACACCCTAACAAAGATGCAGTGTATGCTAGCGCAGGAGTTCTTTTGCCAGTATAATTACACTACCTCTCCAAACGACATAAGCTAGCCTGTCCAAAGGTATAAGCTGATATACGCTGTGTCTATATGGGGATTTTGCCAGTGCAGGTATGTCACTTAGGGGGCATGATGTTTTCACAGTCCTGACCCACAGCTACGCTGACAAAACGCTGCCATGTAGAACTGACCTATCTCACTGATTTATGCCATACACACTTTGGGGCAGGGCCTGTCTCTCATACCAGGGCCTGCCCCACCTGCAGACTTTGTACCAATAGCACCAGTTTGGCTGGCGGCTATATACAGTTAAATGGCACAGAGCTGCCTTTTATCAGGATATTCTGTTTTATGCTAGTTCTCATACCATGCTCATCACTGGAGTTTCTGAGCATCTTCCAGCTGTGCACTAAGCAACGTGGCCAACATCTGTCACACAGTTCGCTCTCTGATCTGCCCCCTGGGGCAGCACATGCTGTGGGGTCATGTTTTGGGGGGATTTTAGGAGGGGGGTATTCTGTTTTTAAATAGCCACATTAACATAAAACTAGAGCAGAGGTGGCAAGTCAGAGAACTGTGCCTCACACTTGGATCAGAAGGTGGGGAGATTTGGGATGGCCCTTCGCTCCTGGGGGTTCGTTCCACAGCCTGGGACCGGCCTCCGAGGAAATTGTGTCTCCTGCAGAGAGACAGATTCAAGTTTAAGGCCAGAGAGAACCACCAGATGGTCCATTCTGTCCCACATATCACAGGGCACCAGCCCCACAAACCCCTTTGCCGGACTGCGGAGCATTGCACTGGGCCGGAGCAGCAGAGCCCAGAGGTTCCCAGGTCAGACAGGACCATTGTGATCCTCTAATCGACAGAGTTCAGGTTCTTACAGCTACCTGGGCCCAGGCCACGGAGCCCCATGCAGAGGCCTGTTCTCTGGGATGCCGGGGTAGAGAATGTAGGATGGGTGCGATGTGCTCACGGGAGCCTGTGGTGGTGAGGAGACATGCTGCACCGTTCTGGACTAAGTGGAGTTTCATCAGCACTAAAGGCTTCCTGCCCAGGTGTGGCGGGTTGCTGTACCCCAGCCGAGAGGAGAGAGCTGATACAGCTTATTCCCAAACGTCAGTGCACCCCAACCCCCTTCTGACAAACAAAATTACTACATCACCCCAGGAGGAGAGACTGAAGCTTCAGCCCACCCAAGCCCTGCCACCCCTGCGGGGGGGAGCGCCAAAGCCCAAAGGCTTCAGCCCCAGGCAGGGGACCTGTAACCTGAGCCCCACCCATAGGTCCCGACTTTCCCTCGAGCTGGGGGGTGCTCAACTCCCAGACACCACCCGCACTTCACCCCTGCCCCCAAACCCCAACCCCCACCCTGCCTCTTCCCATCCCTGCCCCTGCCCCACTCCCACCCCACACCCCTGCCCCCGCCCCTTACTCACCTACTCCCCCGAGCACACCCCGTCCCCGCTCCTTCCCCTCCCTCCCGGAGTGTTGTACATGCCGCCAAACAGCTGTTCGTGGTGGGCGGGAGGCACTGGGAGGGCGGGGGAGGAGTTGGTCAGCAGGGCCGCTGACAGGTGAGAGGTGCTGGGGGGCAGGGGAGGGGGGAGCTTGGCTGCCGGTGGGTGCTAAGCACCCGCTAATTTTTCTCACCAGCCCTAGAGCACCCAAGGACTCGGCGGCTATGGTCCCACCGCCCAGGCCTGAAGCCCTTGGGCAAAGGGGCTTGAGCTTCAGCTTTGGCTCCGGGCCCCAGAAAATCTAAACCAGCCCTGGTGACCCCATTAAAACCGGGTCCCAACCCACCGTTTGAGAACCGCTGCCTTAGAGGAATAGTTCTACTGGCATAGCCACCTTTCTCCTGCTCTGACTATATCCACGGCTGGGGGTGTAGATCTAACTACACTGGTAGAGCTAAATCACAAACATTGGAGTAGACAAAGCTATGTGTGCACATACGTACAGCACCTTGCACACTGGGGTCTTGATCTCAAGTGGGGCTGGTGGGTGCGACTATAATAAATTAACACTAATCTACCCCTGTAACTGATATTGAAAGCAATCCACCGACGCTACCCAAGAGCTATCAAACAGACAGAGGCCAGGTCCCCTGTGGCTGATACTTCTCGCAGAGCTCTGCCCGTTGGCCTCCAGCAACCCAGCGTCACCCCACCTGCCCAACGAACTGGACAAGGGAACGTTCTTGAAACTCACTCGTTTTTATTCACATTTTGTAATGAAGCTGCTAGAGTATTAGGGGCACATAACAGAGACCAAAATTCTTGTCAAGGCGGAGCGAAGTGGGTGAGGGGAGGGGCAGGTTGGGGGAGCTCCTAGTTTACCTCACTAGCGCCTGCCCCAAAGAGCTGACGGTGTATTCTGCACTCGTACCGTGCCTGGAACACGGGACTCCTGGGCGGTATCGTAACACGTGATAAGGACCAGATGATACAGCCCCTCCCTGTGAGGGCAGGGCCAGGCCCCTGATTTATTGCTAACGTCATGTTGCAACAACACCTAAAGAATCAGATTTTAAGGCCTGACGGGACTGTGACAATCAGCGGCTGAGCTCCTGCAGTGCTAGGGTGACCAGATGTCCCAATTTTATAGAGACAGTCCCGATTTTGGGGTTTTTTTCTTATATAAGCTATTACCCCCCACTACGGTCCTGATTTTTCACACTTGTTGTGTGGTCACCCTATGCAGCGCGCAGCCCAGAGAGCCCATCGCCTATTGCTGCATACAGCCCCTCTCCTCTGGTCAAGCCGGGCTGGGTCCAGCATGCCTGGGGATGTACAAACCTGTGACAATATCACAGCTGCGGCCCCATGGAGCTTCCTGTCTAGAACCAAGACAGCCAAGCAAGGTTGAAGCAGCAGCTTACCCCATGCAATAGGATGCGCTTGGTTCTCAGCCAGTCAGGCTGACCGCCCTGCTGGCTTCTTCACCACGTCTGGGAGGCTGAGTGTCTACGGCGCCATTTGGGAATGGCCCAGTCTGGGGTGCCCCGGCCCTGGGACAGGGGCTGAAGAGCTAATCTGGCGTATGCAATATTACACACCCACCAGCCATGGGGACTGAACTTGGGGCCTCTTGCTCTACAGGCAATAGAGGCTCATGCTTGAGTGATGAGGCCCAGCTCAGCCCCTCTACATGCGGCCCAGGCTCACGGGAAAGGGACCAGGAGCAGCCCGGAATGGGCATGGTCATACGTAGCTAGGACGGAGAGCATCAGACCTGCTCCATGCCTTCCTCATCCCAGCTCCGCCCAGCCCCATCAGCCCCTACAGCGCTCCTCCCTCGCCAGCCGCAACTTCCACCCTGACCGTGTCCGTGGAGCACCTTGGCTCGAGGCAGCACCCTGTCCGCCTCACAAGCTTCCTCAGCCCGGCCTGATACTGGCTGGAGAGGCTGAAGCAGATGATGGGATTGACGCAGCGGTTGGCGTAGGCCAGCAAGGTGGTCAGGTTGGACGCCAAGTACATGGGGCCTGTGGTGAGCAACTCATCATCCTTCGTGAGGAAAACCACCAGCCAGTAGGGGACCCACATAACCACAAAGGTCACCACGGTGACCAGAGCCATGACCGTGGCACGCCTGTTAACCTGGAGACTGGAGGCCGTGTGGACGGCCAGCCCCCTCCTAACCCACAGGGTGAAGATGATACTGGAGTAGCAGAGGATCATCAGTAGCATGGGGGGGAGGAACGCCAAGCCCCCCAGGAGCCTGAAGTAAAGAGCCAACTGCTGCTTGAGCATTTGGTTCACGCAGTACGTCTCCCCCTCCACCTCCACTGTTGTGTAGTGAATCCACAAGGGGATGGAGAAGAGGAAGCCAAGCGCCCATATAAACACGCAGGCCCAGGCGATGAGCCTCTGGGACACAGCCATGGTGCGCGTCGGGTAGGTCACCGCCACGTAGCGCAGCAGGGAGACTGCCAGCAGGCTGTAGAAATCGGCAAAGATGATGGAGAGGGACAGGCTGTTGTAGGTGACGCACACCACGTAGCCCAAGGGCCAGCCCTTGAAGAGCACGTTGCCAAACATCACCGGGACGACGTAGAGGAAGAAGAGGAGGTCCAGGAGAGCAATATTGACCAGCAGGGGCCCGGTCAGGCGGGAGACGTGGCTGGCACCAGTCCTCATGAGGTCTGGGATCAGGACCAGGAGCAGCAGGACATTCCCAGGCACACCCAGCAGGAAAATGAGAAAGTAGATGGAAGCAAAGAGCCTCCTGGATTGGAGGAGGAAGATGTCACTCAGCACAGAGCTGGAGCTGTTCCCTGCACTGGAGTTGGAGGTCATAGCAACGCTGACGTGCCTTGTCAAGCAGAGCTCGGCTGCAGCTGGCCCTGTCGCTCTGTTCTGGAAATCAAAGGGCAAAGTTAGCTTGGCATTCAGCACCTACGGGCTTGTCTTCATGGACAGCGCAGCGGCGGCACTGGTGCAGCTGCGCTGCTGTAGCACGTTCGTGAAGACGCTGCTACTCTCCCGTTGACAGGGAGCTGTCTACACCGGGGTGAGGTCAGTATAACTATTGCTCGGGGGGGCGGGATTTTTCACACCCCTGAGCGATGTGGTTATACCGCTATATGTCTGTAGTGTAGACCAGGCCTCAGAGAAAGCAGCAGTGCTAAGGGTACAGCCCTCGAAGAATGGTCAGAAGCACGGCTCCCCAAGAGGAAAATACGGAGGTTTGGTGCGTGGAAGCGGGATGAGTAACAAATTCACGGGGCAGCCTGAGAAATTCTGACCCCCAGAAACAAAACTTCGAGCTTCCTGGGGACAAAATCACTAGAAATCCAGGCACAGAGCTCCCTGACGGGAAAGCCCTATAGGATGCTAGAGCAAATACTAACCCCCCCAGAGGTTTCTCTAGCAGGGATCTGTGACTGCTCAGGGAACAGAACCCAGGCGTCCCAGCCTCCTGCTTAGCTAGTGAGCAAGACAGCCTCATCTGACACGCCGGGAGCTGTAGTTCAAGGCCAGTGGTGGATTCGTAGCACTAAGAGCCCAGTAAAGGCAGGGGCAGCCGGATCATTTCAAAGAGGCAGATTTAATTAGAGTGAGTCTGACCGCACCACTAGAGAAACGTACTGGGGGGTCGGGGAGTGGCCTCAGGAGAGCCAGGCACTGCTGGAGAATAAAATACTCAAAGCATGGCAGGAAGGTGGGAGAATGTGGAGGAGCCCAGTGTCCACGGCTGAGGGACACAGGCTCTAGCTGGGTGTCCAGGAGGCCAGAGCGCCTCAGGTTCTGCTGCGCTCGGTAAAGCACCTAGCAAGCAATTTGGAGCAGGGCCGGTTTGCCTGGGGCCTTGTCCAACACCAACCCTGTTGTTGGGGTTAGTGGTTATTTCTCCCAGCTAACCTCCACGCATGACTGCCTTGGGTGTGGCTGTTTCTGAAGGGCAGACAGGCTCCCCGAACTCCAGCACCCTCTCACGGGCAGGCTGTTTGCTCACCCAGAGAGAGCGACAGAGGGGGGAGCAGGAAACTTCCCTCAGGACGGGGGGTTGGTTCGGCCAGTGAGCTAGGAACTGACGCTGCAGCACAGGAAACGCTCTAGTTAGATGGTAGCTTCTCGTTTGGTCACTGGGAAGATTCCCCCAAGTTTCACTGGAATCACACTTTACACGAATCCGGGCACCCATTCTCCTCCACTACACATTGGACTCGTCCGATGGGCCCGATCCTGCTCCCACCGAAGTCAGGAACTGAACTTCCGGGGCACAGGAGCAGGCCCGATGTCTGAGTTCCCGACACATCCCGTCCTTCCTGTATTCAAAACGCAGCTCTACGAACCCGCTCCTCTGGGCGCGTCTCCTTCTGCAGTGCAGAGAGGTTCCCGGCTCCCTGGCCTGTAAGCTGGGAGACTGTGGCGTGTCCAAGCCAAAAGGACTCACCTCTCCAGTGGGTGTGGGTGCCCCTTGCAGGGAACAGCTGGATGAAGCTGCAGTCCCAGGCAGCTGCTCTTGTCTTGACCTTGTCACTTTCCCAAGCAAACCCCTGCTGACTAATGAGAGACAATTTATAAACTCCAGCCAGAAAAACCTCAGGAGGCAGCAACACCCCTGCTCTGCCCAGGGCTGCCCATCACAGTCCCTCTGGCTGAGCAAACAGGCAACCTGCTCCAGTGCAGAGATCAGCCACAAGGCATAGACGGCCGTCAGTCAGCCTGGCGGAGAAACCACCTGCGAACTGGGGTGAGCAAGGGGACTCTGCCTACTTCTGCCACTTGTTCCAAATAACCAAGCAGCAGCTGAAATCGACCCCCTGGATCCAGCCACCGCTGAGCTTCTGGGGAGTTTGGATCGAGATTGGAACCCCCAGTCCAGCCCGACTCACAGCACTCGCTGTTCCAGAGGACACAGGGGCACCATGGGGGCTGACGGGGAAAGAACTACATGAGGTACACAGTGAAGCTAGGTATCAAATTTTCAGTGAACAGAAATATTGCTAAAAAATGTATTTTTCATAAATCCAGGGCAAATCTGGGGAATAGTTTCACCCCCCCCCAATTTATGTATTTATTATTAATTATTATTATTATTATTTTAATTTTGGCCACTGAACCAAAAAGTCAGTTATTTACTCAGTGCTCTGACTACCACAACTGTGGTCTGCATCCTGCGCTTTGATACAGCGAGCTTGCCTGGAGCAGTGCTGTGAGGCAGCTGTCTTACAGAACGAGTCTCACACACTGCGCTCACCCCAAAGACTTACAGGGGGAGGGATAGCTCAGTGGTTTGAGCATTGGCCTGCTAAACCCAGGGTTGTGAGCTCAATCCTTAAGAGGGCCATTTAGGGATCTGTGGCAAAAATCTGTCTGGGGCTTGGTCCTGCTTTGAGCAGGGGGTTGGACTAGATGACCTCCTGAGGTCCCTTCCAACGCTGGTATTCTGTGACTTTCCATTGGTTCTTTCTTGCTCTGTTATTTTCCCTGCTGTAGAAGGAAGCTCGTTCAGACTGAACAGACCCGCTCCTTTCCAAATGTGAAGCCATAATGTGCCGGGAGCCAAAGAAACCAAAGCCTTTACTGCAGGTGCAGATTTATAAATGTTTGCTCTAGCAGATCACTGCCCTTCAACGGGACCCAGCAGGCGCTGAATCCAAACTCTAACACGAGGGAATTTGAGAGAAACCTGGCCTAAGCAGCTACAACTCCATTGACTTCACACCAGCTCCACCTGCTTGGCCCAGATGGGAACTAGGCCCAACTATTTCCATGCAGGATCAGGACAGAGCTTAGCCTATTTAAAGGAAGAGCAGGGATTTCTAATGGCTTCGCTTTCACGCAGGGACGTGCAACTCAAAAATCTGATGCAAGAACTGGGCTCAGTCAGGTGACTAACTAATAATGGTCCATGTTGGCATACTGAAGTCCTGGTAAGTCCATGGCTGGTGGGTGTTTGTCCTGTCGTCACAACACTGGCTTTTACAGGTCCATTATGTGTACTTTTGGAAGTTGTTTCACATACTTTGCCCTTCTGTAGAGCTCTCCACCTGCAGGTCTCACTCTCAAAGCATTTTATAAATACAAACCACCTCAACATCCCCAGATGGGAGATATTCTGCCCCTCTTAAAGATGGGGAAATGGAGACAAAGGAGAAGTTAATTCCCCCAAGTTCACACAATGAGTCAGGGCAGAACCCAGCAGTCTAAACTCCCATTTTCCCTGATCCAACCACTAGACCATACTCCTCTCCCAGTGCCAGGAATGGGAGCCAGGACTGCTGACTCCGGATTCACCCCTGCTGCTACCACAACGGTGAGAAGGACTTTTGTGTTAAATGGTAGCATTATTTTTTTTTTTTGCACTTCTTTCTTATGTATAAAGAGCAACTTTATTACGTGAAGGGAAAGGTTATTCCTGCTTTTTTAAACACACTAAAAACAGAACAAATCAATCAATCTGATCACTTTCTCCCCTATTGTTTTGCTGGACAGGGCCGGCTCCAGGCACCAGGCACCCAAGCTGGTGCTTGGGGCGGCACCTGGAGGGGGGCGGCGCGGCGCTCTGGCTGCCGGGGGGAGAGCCGAGCCCCAGCTGGGGCTTGCCGCCCTCTCGCCGCCCTGCCCCTGGCACTCTGGCCGCCGGGGTGGGGGGGAGA